TACGACTTCTGATTTTTTCGGAATTTTCAATTTTCGATATGTACATGTATGTTCAAGTCTTGTACCATACAAACATATAGATATATTATATAATGTAATTGTTTTCCTTAATTGCAATGCTTCAACTTATATATCAGTAGAGTTTTCATGAAAGTATATCACTGATTTACTTTACGCAAAACCAATGAAGTTCGTGAAAAACTTATTTTTGCCGCGCCCGGTACTTTTATCAGGTATGCATGTGTGTTCTCTGTCCTAAGATATCATAGTTTGCTTTTATTGTTTTCCTTGTACATATAATTTCCTCTTTAGATATATAAATAGATAAATTATAATATCTATTAGTCTTTCTTTAATATAACATTGTCCCTAGTATTCAGTGAAATTTGCATCAGTCACTCGACTTAAATATGCTGCGAACAGGACTATATGCGTGTTTTCCCGCCCCGGTTTTTCTCCCTAAGATTTCATAAATTGCTTTCGTTGTCTACATTGTATATACAATTACCGTTATTATGATCTAAATTATCCCGATATATCTTAATAAATATCTAGGCTATATATTTGAAACTTCAAACACCCTTTTATTCCGATTTAAGCTTTTTCACGAAAAATATATGTATTTATACGTTACAATTCCAGCACACCCTTAAATATATTATAATATTTTTTTTTATTTTTCTTAAATGCAAGATGTTCCCCTATCATACAGTGAAATTTCCATCCAGATATTTTAATAAATAAGTTCTTAAGCGATTAATTAAGTTCGTGAAAAAACTCAACTTCAGTAAGGTGCGAACAGTATTTATAGCGGTATAATACACGTGTTTCATCTCCCTAGTTTCCGTACCTAAGGTATCATTGTCTACCTTGTATATGTAATTAACTTTATTCCTATTATATATCTTAATAAATATCGATATGTTTAAATATTCAGTGGAAGTGAAAGTCCATCTTTTATCTGATTTAAGCGTTTTCCCGGAATAAATACATATGCACTTAGATATATCATAATATTTATTGTTCTTTCTCTAATGCAATATTGTTCCCTACCATACAGTGGAATTTTCATCCAAATATCTTAATAAAATTGTTCTTGAGCGATAAATGAAATTTATGAAAAATTGTTTGCGATATAACCATCGCCTAGCGACTCAGGCTATATTTCCAAACAACCATTTATATAGCGCCATGTTACCTATCTAAATTTTTTATAACTAATAATCTAATCAAGCACGCACGCATTGTTATAACCTTTTCATTTGCATTTTTATCTGCTATATATATTGATGCTATTTTACCGATGAATAATTGGCATAATTAATAAGTATTGATAATGTGACATAATAAATAATGGAATTCACTGCGGAACATATATGGTTCTCAAGAGGGTACGGAATTCCAAACGATATACGGGTAAAAATAAGGGTTACAGGTTCGGATCCATCGGGATGGAGCTTAAAGGACTGAAGCCCCCAAGACAGCCTGGCCTAAATAGAAAAATTCTATTAAAGACGGCGTATTGGCAAAAACTGGCTTAAGATAAATGTACGTCACTTCGTCCTTGTATATTTGAGCCTGGATCCCTGCTGAGTTTCAGTCAGTCAGTAAAAAAACTGTATGTCTTTAGGCATTTTTTCAACATTATGTTTTTGACTCAGGTCATGCAGACGCTTTCATAGATAACTCTTGGTCAGTGAAGAGGCATATTAAGCGTCTACATGATACTGACTAAATAAGCTTAAGAACTCTTAAAGTAAATCGAAATATGTGTGCAAGTAAATAAGTAATAGCCCCCTCGAATGTGATGATGTTTTATTTATGTATTTGTATTTTCTGCCATGTCATTCCATGTATGCTTTGTTTTTATAACGACATTGAGCAACGACGAATAAAACATATGTGTTATTTTATTTTCAAAATTATTTAGCGATACTCGCAGTGAATTTTAATTCAATCGTGATATCGTGGCTGATATTAGATAAAGAATATAGAATAATTCTATAATTCTTTTAACCTGGAGAATAAACATTAAAAGGATAGATTACTAAATAAGACACTGTACAGAAAAAACCGATCAAACTAATAAACATGTTAAAGTATGTATAATGAACGCACACTTAAATTTAAGTTAAAGAGCCCCACGGTACATTGATTAAAAAAATATATTTTAGAGTATCAAAGGCTTTACAAAAACCTAGAAACATTATTGCACCATCTATTTGGAGTTTTTTCTGAATAATCTATTATGTCTTGTATTAAATGTATGTTATATCCAATAAATCTGTTTTGATATACCCTTGTTGGTCTGTGCTTATTATATTTTGAATAACAGTTTGTAATCTATTGGCAAGAGCACGAGTAGCAATTTTTACATCAACACATAATAATGAGATTGGTCGATAATTTCCTAAAAATAGTGGGTCCCATATTTTAAACCAAAGATATATAACTTTTTTTGCGAATGAGATAATATTTTTTATCAAATCATTCATTTATACACTCCACTCTGTGAGAGGTGAACCTACGCAATAGAAAATAATTTTGATAGAATTCTGCAGAAATGCCATCAATACCTGGTGATTTATCTGGCTTAAGTCCATTCACCCATTACTTGATATACACGTATTTAAACGCCTTTTTCATCCCCCTTGTTGTTATCTAAAATTATAAATAAAAAAAATTTTAGGTCCCCTATACTTGTTTTTGTTTGAGAAATGATGTTGAAAAAAGTGACCACTTTTTCGGCGCGGTCCCCTATCCAAAAGATACATCAGGGGGTTGCCAGTAGGGAATGCGCCCCCTTCTAGTTGGGAGGCTGTGAAGGGGGACAGCAGTCCCCCTAATCGCCAAGAAAATTTTGGACTTGTAAGAGGCTAAAAATGACCCCAGATCGATCATAAGGTAACGTGTTACCAACGCTGAATCAATCCATTGAGATGTTGCAGCACTTTGAAATCAATTTTGATGGAAAGAAACAACGCAAATGAGTGACTTTTGGGAATTTTGAGATGTCCGCTCGTTGCCATGGCAACAGAAAATCTAAGACTGAGAACGTTGTTACAAAGTCAATGGTCTGGTTAACATTTGTGCCAAGTTTGATTAGTATCGAAGCAGTTTTTATAGTTTTATAGCAATTTGAACTTGAAACGGGAGATTTTTCAATGTAAACAGCCATTTTTTACAAAGCAATGAAACAAATGAAACATTCTACAAAACAACAATTTTTTTTCAAATTTATATAAAAGTCCATGTGTAAACATGGAAAACGCAATTGTTGGGTAATATCAGGTATTTTCATCATTATCTGTTAACCCATTACTTGATTTACAGTTTACACGCCTATTTCACCCCTTTGCTGTGTCTCAAATGGTGAAAAATGCCTTATTTAGGTCCCTAAACTTATTATTATTTGAGAAATGTTGCTGAAAAAAGTGACCACTATTGGTTGCGGCCCCATATCCAAAAGATACATCAGGGGAATGCCAGAAAGGGGATTTGCCCCTTTCTGTTTTGGGGGTTTGAAGGAGGCCGCAGTCTCCCTCATCGCAAAGAAAATTTTTGACTTGTGAAAGGCTAAACATGGCCCCAGATCAATCATAAGGAAACGTGTAACCAACGCTGAAAAGCCTTTGACTATATCTCAATCCGTTGAGAAGTTGAATCACTTTGAAATCAATTTGATTGAAACAATCAACGCAAAAGTCGCTTTTGGCATTTTTGAGATGTCCCCTCATTGCCATGATAACAGGAAATTTAAGACAGAGCACGTTGTTACAAAGTCAATGGTCCAGTCAATATTTGTGCCAAGTTTGATTAGTATCGAAGCAGTTTTTATAGTTTTATAGCAATCTGAACTTGAAACGGGATTAATGCTAATGCAGTTTTGTTTCATCTTTTACATTTCCATTTATTTGTTTTATTTTTTTATTTTTATTTTTGTATATATATTTTTGTTTTGTTTTATGTTTTCGAGATCTTATTTGTGCGCCTTTTGTCTTTGTTTCATACAGTTCTTGGAATTCTTTTTCTCAGTTTTCAATTTGCTCGGATTCTAATATACTGTTTTATAATGTTTAGAGTTTAGATTCAAGTTCTATGATATGTTTTTTTTTTTTTTTTTTTTTTTTTTTTTTTGCTCTAAGTTTTGAATATGAAATCGAAGAACTTTTAATTTCTAATTTACAAAATTCCAAAAATCTGTTTTTGATACTTTGTTTCTGTAAGCATGCTCGCATTGTTTTATGCATCTTCGATCAATAATTTTTAATCACTATCTTTAAGGCAGAAAGTTTCGTTTTGATGGATTCTTTTCAATTTTGAAAATATTGCATGATGGTCAGTGTATTTAATACAAGCTTGCCTTATATCGGATTTAACTACTTACGGAACTGCATTTTTTCAACTAGCCAGAAGTTTGTTCTACTTTTGTTCTGTACTATTTTTCTTTAGCCACGTATACTGTGTTTTATTATCATTTAAAGGTTTTAAAACATCTGTCAGATTATTTGATTTGATCAAATTTGCAAAACCTTTCCCGGGATCAATTTTTATTTTGTTGTTTGCATTAAGTCTTTCGGATGATTGTAATATTTCATTCATGTCTCCGCCAATATAAATCCCTGAGCATTTTTATAATTATTTTTTATTTTGATAATTCTTTATCGGTATAATGTCAAGAACTGTGAAAACAGGGTAATATTTAGAAGTGAATAACGGCCACGCGCATCTTTAAGAGTGTCAATGATATTAAAATAGATCTATTAATAAAAATAGAGCATCTTCTACTGTTACTTGAGACAAATGAGTTTAATATTTGCCATTCATCAATCATATGATACTCATGACTAGCAAGTTTTATTGCGATCAGGAATATATGTTTCCAATCAAACATGATTAAATCAGTAAATGAAATATATTAACTCCTAAAATTTAACCAAAAACTTTAAGTAGCTTATCTTTATCTCTAGTTTCGCCACGTTGCGCGGGGTGTGGTCGCTAGTGAAACATTTCAAACCCATATTTTCTTGTTAAGCGCTTTATTGTCGCCTTTTGAGTGTAGTATTTCAATGTTAAAGCACAGTAAATCGTTTTGTGTTGTTTCCCTTTTTCTAACGCGAGGCTATTTGGCTTGTTTTTTTTTCTGTTTGCCTCAATACTGCAGACGATAATTTCAATTGTTCATTGTTAACATTAAAGTGATTAGAAAAACACAGCAACTTATTAACATTATCATATTAGTAAAAAAATCACCGATCTTTGTTAATAAACAAAATAAATCGTGCGCTTGAAATATTTGTAAGAAATAGATACTAATTAAGTTATTTTTATCTGTTATCTTATCATAAATGAAAATAGCAAACTGGAATTTGTCATGTTTGCATTATTAAAATAAGCATGTAGCCCATAAAACTCACTCTTAATATATTTATAAATCTAACACAAAAATTAGTTGTAATTAAACATTTCTCCGAGCAATTTTGCCAAAATGTAATTATGTGGACGGTAAAAATTCTCTAACATCTCTCTGGTTTCTGGTAACATTTCGCCCTTCTTTCTCTCCTTAGCCTTTCTTTTATTAGCATGCTGACTTGGATCCGAAATCTTTTGTAAAAATGTTCTGTTTAGTTTTGCTACAAAAAATAAAAGTGTATAAAATACTTAAACCATGCTTATACTATGCTTATACGATTAGGGTTAAGAGAATGAATAGGTGCAAAATAATAATAATTATCAACACCATCTTACACTATTTAAATGTCAATGTTCTGTATTTAAAACAAAAACATATTGGCTGAAAAAGATCATTCTTTTCAAATTATATTATTCACAACAGCAGGTCTCGAGTGCCTCGTTGCAGCTGTAAAATGTTAAATAAGTGTTATTATAAGTTTCTGGCCATACAGGATCATTGATACTGGCACTTAAATTGTTTGAAATCGAGTACCGCTTAAGTCGATACTAGGGACCATAATGGACTTTGCGCCTTTTCATTTTCCCTCATGTACTGAATCAATCAGAACGAATCTACAAATTTCATGTTATTTTGTTGTAATTATTGCTTTCGAGGGATCACTCTTTTGAAGTCGAATTTATTACCTATTTTACATCGGTTTGGAATTTTAATCTTAAGGAATTGACCATTCAGGCCATTGGCCTGAACGATTGATCTTCGCATGAAAACGACAAAGCAATATTAAAAAGCCAATAAACATCACTCAGACCGATATTATTTCGATTCTAAAAGACAAAATAAAGGGTTATCACTAACAAATTTTGTGCATGTGGATATAGTTCTTACAAGGCTAGTATTTTTCCACACCATACTGTCGCTAAGGTATAGACCTATATAGACAAAAGAAATGTTTCACGTTATTCTTCACAGATTATATTATCATTTTTCTACAGTTTAAACATACGGTATAGGTTGGAAGGAATTGTATTTGCATCAGTGCCCAATAAATCACCTTCATCGACCACCTAAGCAAGTTTAAAATAACGTGTTTCGTGTGCCTTACTGAAATAGTTGCATGCGTAGGATAACATCATGAATCTTCTTGCAAAGTTCGTATTTCTTAGAAACATAAGTTATATGAACTATTCTGGATAAAACAACTCGCGTTAGTTTATGAAAGATGTTAGTCAATCATCATAGAATGCATTTTTTATGTTGCACAAAATGTGTTTATTTGCATTTTAACGCAGGTTATATCTTTCTTTGTGTATACTGTAGTAACAAAACCACGAGGCATATAAGGATAGCAAATTAAAGTTTATTATCAATGACAAATGTATAAAATGACCTAAAATTCATTTTCTTATAGAAACATTGATCATCAAGTACTTACATATGTCCAAAAATGAAAATACATTTTCCATATAGGAGACGGTATTATTTGAAAAGTCTTCAAGTTTGATAACCATCACTTGATTACGTGGGAAAACACGGAAATATTCTTTTAAGTGCTGATGATAAACCCCGATCCGCAGTCTTATCTGAAAAAATAAACAAAACTTAAAACTAAAATACACACTGAACTATAAGTTATCAACAATGATAACGTTTATGGACATGAACTTTAGAAATCTATTGCCATTCCCTATTGCTTGTATATGAAACGCTGTGTCTAATCTATTTGTTTCGTTTACGAAATGCAAGCAACTTTTTCTAATATAAAACGTTGACCTTAATCTTGTTTGTGCATGAAACGCTGTTTATAAAGTTTTGATATACGAACATGAACAGCTGAACAAGTCTTTTGTAATATCTCTTAAAATCTATATACTAAAATGAAATGGAATGAAAATAATAAACAACAATACATTTAAAAAGTTAATTCTAGGTATTGATTTTCTATGTATGACTATTTTAATACTGCTTTAGATAATAATGATATAAATCTAGCTATACTGCGACTATAAGTTTATTTTTACAATGCTCAAAAAAATTATGATCACTAGAAATAAGTGTGTGATACAAATCAGAAAAAAAAATGGTAAAGTTCTACTTGTAAACGACTTTGTACCAATGCTCTTTGACGATTAAGAAAACTTCGTAGATCACTCACTCTCACATCTTGGAACGATTACATATTAGCTAAATCCGAATATAACGAAACATGTGGTGACTGTAAGCTAAGATATGTAGCTAAGAAAGGTCAAAACTTGTTTTGAAATTATTTACAGACAAACGCAGGGCTTAATTGTGTAAATTTAACAACTGAAGAGTGATATAATTATTTTTATAGTTTATTTAATTTCGTTGTTAAAGGGACTCCACTGAGGTTTTTTGACATGTCGGGACTGAAAATATTTTTACCAGGTAAATGTACAATTTGATGTAGGTTTATGCCACTAACTTTTGAGCAAAATTTCAGATCATTCGCGCACTTCGTTTTTCCAGAATAATTATTCAAATAGTAAAAACATGACCCAAAAAGAAAAGCGTTTAAACGCTTTTCACACAAATCGGGCTAAGAAAAGCATAAAAATACGATTTATATGTTTTAACTATCTTTGCATATATTTCTTTCTAAAGTGTCCAGGCTCATTTATGTAAGAAATTCAAATGTTATGTTTTTAGGCTATTAAACCTCAGTGGAGTCCCTTTAGTAGTGAGTTTGATGAAACCACAAATGCCAGTGTAATAGCTTATGATAAACTAGAGGCTGCAATCTCTCCCTCAGAGGTCAGTTTGGCCTTAGGTAAACTAAATAAGGTAAAGCCGCTGGTATCTATGACACCACAGCTGAGTTTTTTAAACAGCCTCAGACATACTTATCCCGACTTTACTGGTGTTATACACCAAGTTAAACGAAAACGGTGAGCATATAAACAATAGGTCAATCCCACTTATTACAACTGTGCTAAAAAAGGGTAACTAAACGAACAAAGCAAGTATCGCGGGCCAGCTTACTTCCTTTACTGGGTAAAATATTTACAACTATTTTAGATAGAAGGCTCAATCAAACCGAGCCTGCAACATTTTCAATTTTGCCGTGTTGGGCTTTCTTTAGGGATTCTGTTTTTATCTATTTTGAGAAATAGTGTGATGCAAACTTTGTATCAGGTGAAGAACCAGGCGGGTTTTGCAGTGGTTATAACACTACAGATATATTTTTCCCTCTGTACTCTAATAACCAAATATCTACAAAACCTCGAGGTAATTTTCATACTTTATTATCATTGATTGCAAAAAAACAACATTTGACCGAATAAATAGACAGGCATTATATTATAGTTAACTATATAAATAATAAATAATGTTAGTTCAAAGTTTTAAAGAACAGTCAAATCTTTATATCATGACATAAAAGCAACCATCTAATCCCAATTTGTACTGACAGAAAGTTTTAATGCCCATTCGGTGTCAGGTAGGGGTTACGTCATCACCTTTATAACTTTCTCTACTCTTATATGACTTCAATAATTATGTTAGTGATGCTGCTATGGTTTCTCATGAGAAGTAAAACATTACACTTTTCGCGGACGATTTAGTTCAGATTGCTGAAACAAAAATATAGCTTCAGAGAAATATTAATCGGTTTAAGTGTTACTGCGATGATTGAAATCTAGTTAATCTAAATTAATCTCTATTAAAACAAAAGTCATTGTCGTCAGGGATGGTGTGCGTGCTCATGAAAAATGGTTCTATGGCGTAGTAAATAAACAAGTAACACCTTACTATTAATATATTGGGAAAGTGTTCTTGCCTAGACTGTCATAGTATATTTGTAAAAGAAAACATTATCGGAACAAGCAAACAAAGCTATTTTTCAATTCAAACAAATGTATACCAATTCGAAAAAACCAACAGTATCTTTATTGTTCAAAATCTTTGACTGAAAAATACAACTTATATTGCTATATGGTTCAGAAATCGGGTTGTCTTATGAAGTTCAAGATATAGACAGAGTACATAACAAGTTCTGCCAATATGCATTGACATTAAACTGGTCAACTCCTAATAAGTATGTTTAAGGAGAGTTGGGCCGTTTGCACTATAATGCAATGAGTTCTGAAATCTATCAAATACTGGTTTAGGATTCGGAATAAAAATAGATTACCTTCATTATGTTATAAAGTCCAATACCGGTTGGCAGAAAATAATTTTGATTGTTGGACATTTCAAATTCGGCGTGCACTTTTATTAATGGATCTGGTCATGTTTGGCTTAACCAGGGCGCGATATTGATGTTCAAACATGTCGAGAGGCTCTCGATTCATCTAGCAGACTTGTATTTTATAAAAGTATCAAAATTGACTTTATAAATGAATCATACCTAGATCAAGTTAAAAATTCATATTTCCGGTCACTCACTGTTAAATTAACAGGCGGTTTACTACCCAACACTGCATAACATTGCATTCTTTAATAGTATTCAAATTGATAAAGGATACGCTTTCTCTGTTTTACGGACCTAGATTATCTTGATTTTTACTTACTGAAATTCTATACATAAAATACCAGATATATTGGTGAAAAACACTTCAGGTGAACAGTGTATATCTGTTCTAAGAAAAGCAGATACGATATTATATAAGACATCAGCACGTTTTCTCGACCATGCACTTAAATATATACCTAAGTATGTACATTAAACTATAAAACATTATAAAAGTATTATATGGTGTAATATATCCGATGATCTACGAAATTTTCTAAATATCTTTTGATTTGTTTATGATGTCTGACAATGTTCATATTACAATATACTATGTACATTTTGGTCACATAATTGTTTTTTTAAATGCTTTGTCATGTTTGTTGTATTATGTTGTATTTTGGGCCGGAGGCCCATGTTTCAAAAAAATAAACTTTACTTACTTGATAATTATGAAACGCTGGCACCTTGCTTTGCAACAGTAAGCTGATTATATAAAATATTGAACCTTAATCCTAAGCGCTGATCCTAAGTTAAAAGATGGTGCATTTCATATACCTAACCTTCTCTTGCCTTGGTGAAGGTATCAATCCTGATTTTTACCGCGTGCTTTGTATTTGTATTTCCGATTCTAAGTTTGTTTTGTGTATTCAAAGCAATTATCCTAACCTTAGTATTTTATATGTAGCGCTGACCTTAATCTTGTATTATCTATAAAATTTAAAGACCATTTTTTACAGACGTACATGTTCCACTGGCTGATTCTTGGTTCAGAGTTTCCGCAAGTCCTTACTTTTTTCCTGTTTGTTTTTATCATTTAGAAATAACCAGAAATATTTGAGCTTAAGATATCTTGAATCCGAGTGAAAACGGAAGTGGGCCAGGATATTTTACTACTGTTTTGACTTACCTCATTACTTGTTTGAGGTGTATATAAACAATGGCGAAGAGTGTTGAATTTTAAGCAATCATAAGTTTCCCTGATAATGTTTTTCACACGTTGGTGGAACAATTGAGGGGTGCCATGTCGAAAATACAAATATTCTGAGTATAACCTAAACAAAAAAGAATTAAATGAAAACATAAAACAAACTACATTGTATTAAAATTAATCAACATTAGCAGCATCTGAAAACCCCCTTTCTAAAAAAGAAACAAGAAAATAGGCTCCAAATTTAAGGATTCAATTCAAATAATGCTAGAGTATGTTCCACTAAATTTATATATTTCATTCCTCATCAACTTTAAATGAAGAGTTGTCAAAACTAACATAATGCAAACCCTGGAGGCAATATTTTCAGGCATATAAAATATGGAAAATTGTATTTAACCTGTTGACTAGAGTTTCATTTTGACGTAATTTCAAAATAAAAATAGCAACGCAAATAGAAAAATGTTAAGATTTGTCGCACAACTAACATGGATTTAAAGGATTAGAGTTTGCAATTATGAGAATTTAATTATTAAGACTTTTTTACTTACACACATTTTAAATTATTGCTAGAATAAAAACAGAAATAAATGTTGAAAAGTGCTGTCTATTGATTTTCGATACCGATCGATGATATAATCAATTCTGTACTTTATTTATTCATAAATAAAATAAATTAATAAATATAGAAATAGAGAAAAACAGAATACCTAAAGAAAGTCCAACACAAAAAATGTAAAATATTGCAGGCTCGGTGTGATTGAGCCTAGTCCATGGACGGTACTGGTAGGTGCAATTTACCGGCCACGCCCCCTAGCACCGGCGTAAGCAGGATTCAACATTTTAACATTAAATGGTACAATTTTGAATTTAGAAACATCTGCAGATGTGTTCACACGGCGGTTTTCATGGAACCTTCAATGTGACACAGTAGTGTAAGAGTAATGGTTAGGTGTTCGTTGTATTTATAAATGATTTTTTTGTCAAGTTTTAAAGGGATACTTGAATGAGGCAAATGAATGACAAAAATATTAAATTGATCTTATTAACTCAAACGATGCTAAAATGACATTTTTAAAAGTCCTAGCATTAATTTTTGTATATTTACTGTATATTTTAGACTTGAAGTAAGACTCCGACAAAGTCACTTAGTCATATAACTAAAAAACTCTTTTGAAATGACATAAAGACAGATATTGTTGATATTAAAAGATTAAAAAAAGTCTTAGTCGGTATAACCGCCTTATAAAAACATCTTTAGATGTTTCTAAATTCAAAATTTCACCATTTTCGTGTACAATGTTGAATTCTGCTTTAGCCGGTGCTAGGGGGCGTGGACGGTAAATTGAACTTTCCAATATCGTTCATGAACAGGCTCAATCAAACCAGGCCTGCAATATTTTCAACTTTGTTGTGTTGGAATTTCTTTATGGATTCTGGTTTTCTCTATTTTAGTCATTAACAGGTACTTAAAACGTTTTTATAGTTCCCTATAACAACTATTGTGAAATCTTAATGCTCGAACCAAGTGGGTCAGGTGTGAAACCCACCATTTTATTCTTTTTAAGGAGAACAATTTTTTCCTATTACTGCTTAGTGTATTTATTTCCAGGACGTTTATAGAATATTGAAAGAAAAAATCAAATCAAAGAAATGAAAACTTTGCCTGTGTCTCCTTTTAAAAGTTGAACTCGAAGAAAGTTTATGTTGTTTTTCAGCAAGGAAGGGGAAGGGAAAATTAAATGCAACATAGGTTTTTACAAAAAATATCCTAAACAAGACCAACAGGGAAATCCATTACGAGATGTCGTTAACTAATTTCGGCTGTTGGTCACTGATATATGAATACAGTTATAACTAATCTTTATTGGCTATGTTTATGTTAAATTAAAATCGCCCAACAAATAAATATTATAACATGAAATGTATTATTTTTTTATTATTCGGTACCATAGGAAATATTGGAAATATATTCACAGGTGTGCTTTAAGTTTTATAGATAGATAGATAGTTTATATTCCGAACCTGTCATATCATTCAATATTGCAGTTTGAGTTGAAATATTTTGTCTTTGATCGTCAAGCAAGACTTAACCGACGTAATTAACACTGATTGACATTGAACGTATAGATAATGGGAAAGAAATTGAACTTGGGCGAGCAAGAAAGAGGACATTTTCTTATACGTCCAGTCAAAAAGAAACAACAGCTAGTGTCTCCAGTCATTATAAATCATTCCGAATTTTCGTTTACTACCTGTACAATGCGGTGAGTGAAATCCAGGACCGACAAGCGGGAGACCAAAAGGGTCAATCTTGACGGGCGATTACCCATTGCTACCTCCTATCCATCAACCCCTCGCAGAGCAGTGTAACAGATGACCCGTTGCCATACGTATTCTTTGTGTACCTCGTGTCTTGGCTACAGCCTAACGCTACGCAACAAAAACAATTACAGCAGATGGATCATCGATATAATCACAATCATTTCAAGCAACACATGCCAAAGACAACTTGAACGTGGCGTCAATTGTACTAAACATTAGAGCCGATTTTAAGCAAATCAATAGGAATTTTGAAATTGTCTAAAAATCGGCGGAAGATATAAAACTCGAAAATAGTCAGATAAAAACGGTAAATGTAATCGTCCCAAGTAAAAGTGACTCTTTGTACTGAAAAAAAAACTCGATCAAAACTCGAAAATCGAATCCAAACACGAAACAAATAGAAATACATATTCGCAGAAATTATTTTTAACTGGATAAGGAGAACAACGCATTCGTCAACATCCAACCAACAACAATTTAGACGGAGATGCATGAAATATCAAAGCCACCTAGAAACTTCCTTGACGAGCTGAGATAGCCATGCTTGAAAAGCTTAACTGACAATCGAGCCATGATAAAGTACTTAATGCTGACAAGGAAAAACGTTAGCAAAAATGGTTGAGTGATTGAGTTGAGGGCTCAGATATATGGAAAAAATGATAATATTATTTCCTTATATTTCGCCAGAGAGATCACCTTAATACAAAGCACTTGACACAGATGGCATTGAACTACATAAGAACAGTATAAAGAATAAAATGATGAACCACCTTGCTGAGGCGATCTTAACCTGTTGAAGAAGTAGACTTTCCATTAGAAAAACACTAATTAAATATCTGGAATGTTTTATATGCATAAAACAATAAATACAGTATTATCAATAAAACAAGTCCTTTATATAAATATGTTGAACTCGAGACATTCAAATTCTGAATGGCCGATTATTTCGAGATACCAAAGGCAAAATCTCGTTCACGTATTAGGTACAATGGATTATTTCATAAAGTCAACGGGTTACCAGTATTCAGCCGCTTTTGCAAACGTGCTCTAGGATTTTTGCAGACGTACATGTAGTCTAAACCAGAACGTAGTTTACTTTTACTCGCGTCGCAAAAGTAGATAAACTTCAATTTCAGTTTATTACAAAATAAAATGTATTAAGATCTGGACTGTATAATAACATATCCCAAATGAGAGTTATCCTAGGCAATACTATCTAATGCTATATATATATCAAATCCATATTCGTACAAAACATCTGTAAAATTGATAATCTATATATATATATATATATATATATATATATATATATATATATATATATATATATATATATATATATATATATATATATATATATATATATATATATATATATATATATATATATATAGGTAAACATGGATTATCAATTTTACAGATGTTTTGTACGAATATGGATTTGATATGCTTGGATTTCTCGAGGAGTTGAAATCATACAAACTTTATGGCAGGCATAACTGATGAATAGAGTCAACGATCGAGCTTATCAAACAAGTCTCTTCAAGCCAATAATTATAGGCGCTTCATATCTAGATAAAGATATTTGTCTATACATCTGCTTTATAAACCAAAAGACAATTAGACAATTTTAGATGCCCTGGTCACAATCAAATGGTCGACAGAAGACGTAACTAGAATATTGTGTGACAATCCAGGTATTATCAATGTTTTCTTTATGACCATGCTTATTGTGTAAAGGAAGAGTATGATATTTCGCTTGTAAGTAAATTATACGATGAACTGAGAACCCAATGTTTTATTTAAACTTGGCTCCACCGCAAACCTAAATACCGAAATATTTTAAACAATTATGTCATGTGATGATGAGCAGAGCATTTTCGCTCTTTAAAACTATTCATACATAAAGCTTTTGAAAAAAAAGGAAATTCATATGTTTATAAAAAATGTAGGAAACATCTAAGTATATCTTTTTTTATTCGAGAATGGATTTAAATGCTGTTCAATGCTTAACAAATTATTAAGCGATCAATGTCGAAGAACACGAATAATGTATAACATTATTGTGCATTGAACTATACCTTTCTTTAATTCAACTGTTTAAATGTCCATAATAATGCTTTTTCTTATGCACTTATTCTAAAATGTTAACTGCATATGTGATGATCATGCCAAGTATCTGTACATGAACTATTTATGTTTGATGCATCATTTTTTTAATAAATAATAATTTAACAAAACTGTACAATATTATGTGTATCGTCGGCCGGAAGCCTTTTACTAAATTAAATATAAAACGTATGTTTTGTTATGCTTTTTAACAGCAAACATCCTAATTATATAAGTGAAAGTATACATTTTATCTTCTCCTATCGCACCTGATACGAGGCGGCGTGAGAGATATTGCACATTTCCATAATCTTTCACGAATATACCCAATCTAACCGAGTCGTTAATTTTCAAATATTTTCATTGTTTTCCTTACCGTATAGAGATTTCCCACTTTTACGATATTTTATTTAGGAAAACGATTTTGGTTTTTAAAATTAAAATATATATACCTTTCTACAGGATTTCTTAACATGGCAATAATTTTTGTGTTTGGATTCAAGTGATGTATGTAGTCAGCATTTGTATATAGAGGTTCCGAAAGGTTTCTGAATTGCGGCAATTTCGTCCAGTAATCATTGTCCCACAATGTTGAGGCTGAGCAATCTCCTGTTATAATATGCAAGAAAAAAAATGTGAAAAGTCGTCCATGATTCCCAATCAAATATCATTACAAGAAAGCATAGTTAAGGCTTTAAAATCGTTTCAGAGCTAACTGTAGAAAGATATTTTTTACTGATCAGACAGTTTCCGAGGAACACAATAAAGCACGTTTCTTCTGCTCTACACATGAAATAAGACAGTTGTGGCTGTGATAAATTGTGAATTGAATTCGAACCGCGTGGCGCACCTTTAAATAATCAATGTACTACTGTGCGCTGTACAATTACAACTGCGTAGACAAAAGTGAATTCGTAAACAACCTGAAGGTATAATTGAATTAAAAGGTTTTTGGGGTTTTTTTTCAGAACATTTGTAATATATTTGCACTTAACGTGATAAAATTTTTCGTTATGGCTCGTAGGACAAATGGAAGACTTCACATCATAGTGTCAGACACTATAAGTATAGAAACTAGTGTTAAAAGGGTATTTAAAAAAACTTATTAAAGTGATACTCAGGCAAATTAATAACAAAAAATATTAAAATTATTTTATGTACTCAAATAACGCTAAAATGACATTATTTTAAGTCCGAGCATGAATTTCTATATAGTTTCTATTTATTTTGGGTTTGAAACGTGAATGTATCTATATATGTTGAACGAAATTTAGATGCTGACATAATCACCGAGTGGTTTTGAGTGGTTTAAGTTAGGAACTTACCTTTTAATTCTTTGTAAGGAGGAAAGTATTGTTCCTGTGACAGTTTTGTGTTTTATTGCGAAGACATTTACAGAATAGTGAATGAAAAATTCAAAACTACGGCATGAAACTTGCCTGAGTCTCCCTTTGAGTTGAAAATTTTAATTTCTATAAGTACGTCATTAATTTATATTTTGTGTCTAATATCACCCAAACAAGGATCACACATAATAAAAAGATTACCAAAAATGACGTGATGATATCCTGCAGTATCTGTTCTGCTTTGCACTTCAGTCACCGCATTTTCAAAGATTTTTAGATAGTGAGTCAAATTTGAGCTCCCTCCCGTTTTTGTAATATCTGGTTTTCAACAAAGATAGAATAGTCCTATATAATTACAATGGTAAAAAATGAGTGTGTACACTTTAAAGTATTCTAGCTTATTTAAAGCTGCATGTCTCCAAATGAACCAGCATATTTCAAGGAAACCAAACTTGATAAATGATCTAAGATTTTAAGAAAAGTAACAAGATTCAAAATTCAAGTAATAATGTACATGCTTATGTGCGATTAAAGATACAATATTCCTATCCTTGAGTTAAATGTTAATATCACAGAAATTAGTTGAAAATATATGAAATGCATACTGAATATGTCTAATTTGAATAAAAGAATAGATAAACTATATATAGAAATATGTCCCTATTACAGGTCAATTAAAGTTGGTCTTTTCATTAAAAACCGCCAGATTTTAATGGCACTAAATATTTATATTGTAACTACCTATAGTGTGTAGAATTTTAAGCATATCATATCTACTATGTGTGGAGTCAAAATATGTTTACTTTATATTTACAAAGAGACTACCGGTTTGTAGTAATTATCAATATTTTCAAATATCTATTTTTATTTAACTTTTTAACTGTTCATCGAAAGCCAACGGTGAAACTGATAAAGAATGTGCAGATGCCTACTTCTGTTATGGACAAGCTTTGTTAGACTTGGCTCGAATGGAGAATGGAGTGCTTAGAAACGCCCTTCAAGTTTTTTTTTCCACAATCACAACAATAACAGCACCGACTCAGCCATTATTGAAGCTCAAAAGTTTTCTCCGAAACAAAAAGCCAATAGTCGAAACAGTCAGGTAATGTGGGGGGGTGGTATTTGTGTCCTATGTACATATTTCTAGCTATTGCATTGTTAATCAAATAAGAAATATCTTGAAAGTAAATCAAAAAGTATTTCAGTCAAAATTAGATTTGTTGATGCAGGTTCTATCTCCAAACTAGGTAAAATTTCTGTGTGCAGGTTTCCTGAGATAAGGAGTTTCTTTTTCTTTTTCTGTATATTCAGGAATTAATTGGTTGGCCATTCCCAGAATATATGGTTAATTGGTTATTAACGTTTAGTTACTCGAAAAGACAGCTATTGGACTGACTGACACTCAATCTTTCGAAAAACACTGCTACTTAACTTACTTAAATAAATCTATGTATTGCTTTTATTGTCTTTGTCACTAGTTTGTCATTTGTCATTTTGAAGTATTTAAGTAAATATCAATCGTAATAAAGGATAATAATGCCTGAATTGAACAAACATTAAAAATATTTCAAAAATAGTTCAGAATAGAATTCATAGAATTCCATTGCATTTCCTTATGCAATGTGTAATTTGGAATACATCTTAATGGTTATTTTAATATATTTAATGATAAAATGCATTTAATATATGAAAACTATTGCATAATGAAATTGTAGAGAAAACAAGATTACATTTGTGAAGAAAGTGCTATGCCACAGCAATAATTCAACAATAAATAATTTGAACCGTAATAGATTTATTTCATTTTTGTCTCTATACAAGTATACTTTGCCATAATGCAGTAGTGTCTCATGAATGTGGGGTGGGAATGGTCATTTTTTTTCAGCATGTCAAATGAACGCTAATGTGAAGGTGTGTTTAGATACAAAGGCCATAGAGCAATAATTGATTCAAAATATAAGCATTCTATCTTGAGATAAAATAGTATGACCCCCTCGACCTACAATATATTCTTGAATCGTAAATATAATCAATCATGTAACTATTAAAATATTTTTATTTGTTGAAAAGCAAATACGGCAATCCAAAACCAAAACAATTTGACTCACAATAATGACGCCTGTCTATCCAATGAGGTTCTTTAACCACCAACTTCGATACGTCATAATGTTGGATCAGCCTTCTGTGCATGTCGGTCGTTCCACACTTTGGGGCACCAACCAAATAAAAGTAAGGGAGACATCGGATGGAAGGCTGGTGGGCTATTTTATAGTCAGGCTTCCAACATGGACTTTTGTAGTTTTTCAAAAATCTAAAGGGACCCTGAAATTGTTATTTAAAATTTTTTTAGTGACTATACATCCAACACTTTATATAGGTGTTTGCAGAATATAAATACATATAACAACGCATTTAACTTTTCTTTATAAAATACTATATTAAAATAATTTTCAAATGTTGTTAAGATATAGAAATTAGGGATAAGTTAAAATGACTTGAAATATGACCAATACGTTCGGGTAAAAAACTGGCATAAAAGTTATACATATTATTAATAAACATTAAACGGTATTTATGCTCTCTAAGTTTTCAACAGTCATTATTAAATACTTTTTACATTACATTTAAGCAACATTTGCTTTACATTATTTACACTGTTGCACAACAAACTCATCGAATGCAAGCCTTAGCTCCTTATGATAGTATACTTGTTGTCATATTTCATTACAATGCAGTGAATATAATATTGGTAAACAATTACTATTCCAAACACAGACGGCAAATGTTATGGAAATAACGTTAAGACGTTGCCCGGACATTAAAAAACTCCCTCTATTTTGTCGCTAAATTATACATTAATAACAAAAGCGGAATACATTGAATCATTTAAATAGAAAAAAAACGAAATCCCCAAACAAAGCCAAAAGGGATAAAAATATAATTTTATTAAGCATGTTCATGGACTATACTACAAAGTGTGAGTTATTGATGTTATATTTCCGATCCTTAAAGATCGTTCAGCGCGACATTAACTTTCTTTAGGGATTCTTATTTCTCTATATTTTACCTTCCACCCACCCTAGAACCGGTTTAAGTAAAAATAAAAATTTAAAATCGAAATGGTGAAAATTTGATTTAAGAAACATCAACACATGAGTTCACACGGGTGTTATTATAGACACTTAAACGTGACACGTTCATGCCATTCCATGAAAAACAGGGTATGGTGACCCATTAAATAAAGCGTGTGCCCTTAAAGAGAAGACAATAGGCGGAACTTAAAAGAAAGAAATTGTGAAAGATGATCAGAGGTCGCAGATAAGCTGTCAAAGGACAAATTTAAAAGAAGGGTTCTATATCCTAAGGGTGATAACACAGAAAGACTATGTTGTTTACATCGGTTGCTATAGGGATAGAAAACTTGATATCGTTTTGAGTAATATTCACTCTGAGGTGTTAATGTATTTATATGTAATGTTGTGATTATATGTAATGATTTCTAAAATAAAGACGTAATTTCACCGGCTTAATAATAGAAATATTGTACCGCAGATAATACTTAAAGAAAAATAGCAAGTTAATAAAATGATACCTTAATGACAGAAATAACTATGAAAATGTTTCAAATTAACAATTGGATGAAATAATATTCAAACATAGCATTGTTACAACCCGTTTTGTAATAAAGTTGCAAATTGTAATAATTATTACAAAACGGGTTGAACAGTTTATTACAATTTGAAATTTTCCACACAACCCGTTTTGTAATAAAGTTGCAAATTGTAATAAACTATCAATAGAAGTCAAAAGTCAATTTCACTCACTAATAATTTTATCTTCAGAAATATCATTCAATTTTAAGTAACTTATACATGTGACCTACTTTATTGCAAAAGTTACTATCATTAATATTTCATGGCCTTAAGCATCATTTCAGCAAATAATTACAAACATATCATTTCTGATGTAAAGTGTAACATTTATTACAAAACGGGCTAAAAAGTTTATTACAATTTGTAATTTTCCGCACAACCCGTTTTGTTATAAAGTTGCAAATTGTAATAAACTATCAATTGAAGACAAAAGTCAATTTTTCCCACTAATATAAGTTCATCTTCAGAAATATCATTCAATTTTAAGTAACTTATAAAGGTGACCTACTTTATTGCAAAAGTTACGATCATTTCTATTTCATAAAAATAAGCATCATTTCATTAAAAAATAACAAAAATAACATTTCTAAGCCAAATTGTAACATTTATTACAAAACGGGTTGTAAAGTTTATTACAATTGAAATTTTCCACACAACCCGTTTTGTAATAAAGTTGCAAATTGTAATAACTATTACAAAACGGGTTGAAAAGTTTATTACAATTTGAAATTTTCCACACAACCCGTTTTGTAATAAAGTTGCGAATTGTAATTAAGTATCAATAGAAGACAAAAGTCATTTTTACCCACTAATATAAGTTCATCTTCAGAAGTATCAATCAATTTTAAGTAACTTATACATGTGACCTTTTTTATTGTAAAAGTTACTATTATTAATATTTCATTAAAATAAGCATCATTTCATTATATAATGACAAACATATCATTTCTGAGGCAAATTGTTTTCATGAGAAAATGTTAAATATCAAGTTTGTGATGAGTATATTTCAAGCGCGTTTTTACCTGTTTCATTAAATCTTCAATAAAAAAATTTTTGCGCACATTTTTCTTCTTCGAGCTTTTCTTCTTTGTAGAACTAAAAGCATTTTGTAATCCTTTAGATAATAAAACTGTGTCATTTTTGAATATGTTGACTACTTTATCATTCCATTCTCTCGAATTTGTTTTAGAATTGTTTGAAACTAAATCATAAAATCCCTTGCCTGTAAATTCAACATTGTTTGCCTTCATTAACACCCTTGCACTAAATAAATACTCAATACACATTACCATAAAAATTAATATTACAAAAAGTATGCCTAACTTATTTTTAGAACTAATTAAGATACATTTATTTTCAATTGTCTGATTGAAAGGTAATAGTTTTATTGGCTTCATAGGATTTGTGTTAAATAACTCTACCAATAAATTGTAGAGCAAATATACTAAATGTCATGCTACAAAAATTTTATCATTAGTGTTCATTTACAGATATATATATATCCAAATAGAACATTTATAACAATCTTTAAATCAAATGCTTTCTCTGCTTTACGTTGTTTTTTTTTTTAGCTTTTATACTTCCCTATAGACGATTAGTAAAACATAAATAAAGCATATGTATTCATCGCGGGTATTTAGGTCGTAATGTTCAACATTA